CAAAAAATAAATAAATAAAGGGAAATAATAAGCAACAACCTTAGAGGCCATTTTTTAGTGTAACGACAAAATCAAGGGATTGCAAGTAGGAGAATGCAGCTTCAAGTCTGAGAATGTCCATTTCATGTTAAAAATAGGCTAAAGGTTAGGCCCATATTGATTCCACCCCTCCCAAAGGGCCAATTTTGGGCAATGGCCCTTCTAATAAGTAACAACTTTATTTTCGTAATTAGCATACTTCTATCATTTTTTTGAATGCTATTACACTGTATAGTCACTGAATTAGGAGAGTCTCCCTTTTCCACGGTAATAAAAAATTACAAATATACATTACCTTCTCTAAAAATACAACCTTATAATCAACAACAACAACAACAATACTAAGTAACAATTTGAACTGTTAAAAAGACCCAAATATTCTAAAACATGTTAACTACACTATAAACAAAATTTTGAGTGAACAAATTTATCAGAAAGATACCATGTAAAGAAGGGAAAATAATAGAGCAAAAGATGGAAGGAAATGAATTTCCACTGAAAGCTACTACATAATTTTCTTTTCACATCAAGCCTGCTAATTACTAGACCTAAGAAGGTCTATAAAACTATTACAACATGTAGAAATTGCACAGATAAAAGAAATAGGACTAAGGAGTAATTAATCTCAAAGATACCTAATATCAATTGCCATGCCATCGGGATTGGCTCTGGTAGGTGGAAGAGAGTAATTAGGCGAAAATACCTAACAAACAATGAAAAACACAAAGTTTTATACTTCAAAATGTGTTCATATATACTTTCATAGAAACATGTAATGAAAGGATAGAAAATAATGTATAAACTAATAAAACTAATATTCTACAAATCAAAATCTAACCTGATTGCAGATTTCGCAGGTGATATCACCTTTCTTGTTGCACCATCTCTGGATGCACTTCCTGTGAGCAAACTGCATGCCAATAAATGGAAAGAAGAGGTTGGTAGGCCATTGACAACTCCTGAGCTCAAATTATAAGACCCAAATGAACAAAAAGACCAACAATGTAGATATAGACAATGCAGAACTACAAAACCAATATAATGCTCAGACTGGAGATGCTAAAAAGCTACCATTGAAAAATAACAAAAAAAAAATCAAGTATAATTATAATAAGACTCATCGATATAAAATATGAGCGACCAAAGCTTAAAAGGTAGCGGCTCATAGAAGATAAAAAACAAAATGAAGCCTAAATGACATAATTAATGGACAAGTGCACACATAATCACTAACTTTAAGTATAAAAGAAAACCAGAAATAACAAACCAACTCTTCTCCAATGAGAAATGCAGTATAGAAATTTTTTATGTTCTTCAGAACTAGTCAAGAAAATCCAGCATGCAAAACCAACCAATATAAAAAACCACGTTAAAAATAGAGAAACCCCAATGGAACAAAGTTAAAAAGCTCCACGTGCTAATTCTCAGAGCCCCAGGTGGGGAAAAAAAAAGAAAAAGAATAAAGAAACTGCAAAGCTAAGGCCCTAAAGCTAGGAAAGTCGACCAAAACTGACCAAAAAAAGTGGAACTAAACCCCAGGGAGGAAAAGTAAATAGTCTCGAGGTCATCCGCACAGAGACTAATATCCCAATGGCATATCGATATGAACAAATTAGAAGGCATAGAATTTAACGGAAACAGAAGAACTCAGAGACTACTAAACAAGAATAAACAATAGTCTCAAATATCCCAAAGAATGCACCATTTAACCCAGTGGCCCAATGTTTCAAATGCAAAAACACAGAAGACCCAAAAAATTTAGCACCTTTTTGAGGTAACCCACAAAACCCAAACTTTAAAAGATGATAAAAATGAAAATCGAAAGAATGAGAAACAAAAAACAACATAGGTCTATAGAAATCGATGTCACATTGAGAGAGAGAGAGAGAGAAAGAAGGCCCTATTAAAAGTCAAAATCCGAACACTAAATCAACAAAATTTGCGAAAAAAAAAAGCAAGGATTGAAACAACCCAGAACATTAAAAAAATAACAAAAGAAAAGCTCAACCCATAAGATATTAAGAGAAACCCAGAAAGAACAAGACCTTAAGGGTGCCACTACAACCACAAGGAGCTTCCATTTCATGCTCTTCGCCTTCCTCCTGACAAATCCTGCACTCAATCATCTCCCCCTTCTTGTCTTCTTTCTTCGAACAACCCTCTCCATTATTCTTCACAGAAACTCCATTATTTACAGACACGTTCTCCATTCCATCACCCCAAGCCGTCCTCCCGTAACCTTCATTAGCAGAATCGAGACACGTAGAAGCAATAATCCTATTCAACACAGACCATAAAATCATCCACCATGTCGACTCTCCTCCCCTCCCTTCGAGCAACAGAAGGGCAAAAGTAAAAAAACAAAACAAGAGCAGGTGTGTGTTTAAAAAGAAAATTAGAAAACAAAACAGTTGCACGGGCAAGATTTACAAGATCGATCGGTCCCTCGATCCTCAGACAGTTCGCACTTCGCAGTATTCAAATTACATTCACAAAATCTCCAAACGGCAAAATACCAACGACAATTCATTATTCATGTGTAGTTATAGTTC